TAATTGTATTATTTTTTAATTATTTTTGCTGCTTCCGGATATTTTTTACACGAGAACGTACACGAGCAAAAAAGCGGAATAAGAAATATATTTTTTAAAAAAGAAATTTTATATGTATTAATTAAATCATTCGTGTTTGTTGATTATTTATTAATGTTAAATATAATTTAATTAAAAACGATATGGAAACTATAGAAAAATATAGAAAATCGAATATTATATAGTGAAATTATAATAAAAAAAAAAAAAAAAAAACTTGAAGATATTAAACTATATTTTGAAATTTCTTTATTTCTACACGCTGATGAAATGTGCTTGTGATGATGAAATCTTCTTATCTTATATTATTTTAAAATTGTATAAAGTAAATTCCAATTTTTCAATTGTGCACATAAAAATATAAAATTGCAAATATTAATCTACCAAAAATGAATAAAACAAATTTCCTTGTAATCCATAAATGGAATTGTTGTTTCAATGTCATTTATCTATCCCATAAGCGTTAACCCATAAAAGTATTGACATGAAAAATCTGAACAAAGCCGTTTAAATATTAATACGATTGATTCTTGGTAACTCGGTCAGTTTATATTCGGTCAGACAATATTGTTCACCCTTATGAGTTTTATCTTGACCGTCAGTGACAACCCGTTGGTCTAGGACGAAAAAAGATTAGTGTATCCCCTTTCTCATGGACGAGTTAGTCATAGGTTGTAGAGAATTTCTAAATTTATAATCGTATTTTGAAATACGTATTTGTCTCGTACTGTAGCGATATTTATATTCGAATGAAAAGTTTTGATATATTTAGAATTTGTTGTACTTTTATGCTTGCAAAACTTAGTGAAAAAATTTGAATAAATATCGAATGAAGGGAATACTGATAAAAGAATAATATTTATTGTAAAAATACTGACCTAATAATACGACTGAAAAAAGTTAAAAAATGTTGGAAAAGATAATGTGCTTTTAAATTAAATACAATACACTGTTCGTTATTTTCCAAAAGATATGCGATACTTTAGATAAAAATGTTAACATAATTAAAATAAATTCCACTGAATCAAACACAAAAAAGTGTAATAGATAAAAATTTTCCTAATATTAATGATGAATTGTGCGTAATGATAAAATAATTAATAATTTAAAACTATATATTTTGAATTATACCAAACGCGTTAAAAGTTTAAAGTATTGATTAAAAATTTTACGTAAAATTTTGCGTATTAGTATCCATAAAAAATTGTTAAATTATTAGTTATTGTAAACCTCATTTCAAAAGTTCGTTTTCTCTAATTAAAAGTTTTTCCACTAATTCAAATTAGAATTTTATTTAGCGATTATTTTTAAACTAATCACATTCCAAACGTATTTTTTTTTTATAGAATTTTTTAGTTTAAACGTAACCAAAAAGAATATTCCACATTATATAATTATTATATATTTCTACAATATAATTACCTACAATTTACTTCAGTTCGAAACTTTTTCAAAACCATTTCTCATTAATTTAAACTCGCTTACACGCAATATAAACTTTCCACAGAATCCTTTATTACTCGTAAAACAATCTTATCCAAGACACGTTATAATTATAAAGGCCGATATATTTCTACAATCAAATATTTTCGAATCTATCTGAAAAACAAAAATTCTTTCGAACTTAAATCAATAATCCTCTCGATCTTTCGAACAAAAGGAAAATTTCGAAATTCTAAGCGATAGTAAATGGTAGTAGCAGCGTCACCTTTAGGTCGAATCAGTGAACTAACCCCCCATTGATTTTTCGCGCGAACGTCACGCCGCCACTGTCGTTTACCAAATAAGGAGAGGGCTCGAACCGCGCCACTATACAACGCAACCCCTTACGAACAGCAACATGGCCGTCCGTTGAATGACAGTTGTTGCACTCGGTTCGCGTATACTTGTTGACCATCCCCGGCCTTCGACGTGCACCTGTCAGCGTCGTCATGTATTCGCGTTCTCGAATGCGACCACATCGACTCTTCTCCACGGTGAGTTCTCAAGGGAAAACTTTCTCTTCTCAATAAAATTATCTAAATAAAGTTATCCTTCGTGCTATTAGATCCGTGTATCCTGTCTTCATCCTTACGTAAAAATTTCACGATTTTTCTCATCGTTCAATTTTACTTTATTTTATTCGTTTATTTTTTCCTTTTCAATCGTTTACAAACTTTTTTTTAATCGTAGGTGAATTATTTTTCTGTGATTTTAATTTTAAAACGCGAATGGCATGCAAAGTGATTCGTTAAATGCGATATTTAAGAAACGATTTAGAACGGTTTGTTTGTATTTAATTGATCGTGAAGGAATCACGCTGTTTGGAATCGTTACGAAGGAAGCGATGATTATTGTTGTGCTGTGCCACTGTGATAATATTTTCCCGATTCCGGATACGCTTCTGTGTTAAATCGTCCGCGGAATTTTCAACGTAAACATTTATCTTCGATGCGGGATCGAGTTATTTTCGATTGCATTTGATATTCGATGGAATAAAAGAACGATCGATGATAGATATATGTCTGGAAGAGAAAGAGGTATCAGTTACGATGAAGTATTTTTAAGGATTTCATTCAGGATAATTGGCTGGTTGGCGAATCCGAGCGATTTAACGTGATATTATGAGACTTTCGTGAAAGGGACACACACAATTTTCTGCTAAAAATAACGGAGACATTCGCCGGTACATTGGAATCCCTTGGTGCACAATTTTAGATCTAGCAAACTCGATCGTCTGTCCCCTCACGTGTGTGACAAGCTTTCACTCGAGCTCTTCTCATCGTCAAGATTTTATCGTTTCTACATATCGTCGATTACGACCACTTTACGCGATAAAAGGAGATTTTTTTTTTTAAATTTATTTTCGATAATAAAACGATTTGATACGATTGCATTTCGCGAGTGAAACGAAATTAATTGCTTTTTACAACGAAAGTTGATAACGTCCCCTTATGTCACGGAAAACTAACTAGTTTCGCTGGTAATTTAAAATTGTTTTTATCTAACTACTCGTTTCTAATTGCTTTCCATTCAAATGTAGAGTTTCTAATCAGACATCGACAAAATAAAATTTTCCGCTTTTATTGGCGATAATTTCGGGGTGTTAAAATATACTTTTACAAATTAAACGCAAATATATAAATCGTACGATATATATATATAAATTTTTGTACAAATGAGATGTGTATTTTATAATATTATTATTGTTAATATTATGATAATTTAAACTGATATAGTTATTTGGATTAGTAAAAGAAATATTTTTTAATTCAGTATTAATACGTGGGATCATAAGTGACTCATAAGAGTTTGAATTATTTAATTTTAAAACACTTTATTTCAATTTGCGCGATAGAGGTTATCAGTGATTAACAATTTACGACGCAAAAAAAAAAAAAAAAAAAAAAAAATAGAAATGAGATGTTAACAATTATATAGATTATTAATTTTATAAGTTGTATCGCAAATTTGTTATTTTCCTCTTTGTTTCATATTTTTGTAATTTTTTTGTCAATTTTTTAATAATCTTACTTGAACAATATCATTGGACCTAACTCAAATCTAACTCATAATCCAAAAGAATTAAAACTAAAAAAGTTTTCCTAATAAAGGCATAAAACGAAAAGTAAATTATGTAAAATATAGATTTACAATTTGCTTTTTCTTAAAAGATTTCTCAAACGAGGGTTAAAAATGATCAAATATTAACCAATATAATATCTTTATACGAGTGAGAGGAGTTAGTCCTTGGAATCCCTAAGCGTTTCAGGTGAGGTCAGCATAGATTAACTTTGTCGGTTGGAATTAACAGAAAGTTCATCCCTTGTTGACGAGTTCGCAGAATTCATTCGTTCTGCGATCGTGACACGCGCGGTTTGCCTAATGTACACGTATACTTACACGTATGTACATTAAACACTAATGTGTATGCACGCGTCGTTTGCCTGGAATTAACACTTCGACATGTATAAACGGATCAGTATAGGGATCGAGCCAGAAATTCAAATTCCGCTCTGACTCAGACCAGTTACCACGCAAACTCCGATCAGACCAACTATCTCATAGTATGTAAGTACTTCGTTCCATTTCTTCCTCTTTCTCCATCGGTTTTGGCAATCGTTCGATCATTCTTATATTCTCGTAGTATATTTCTCAACGAGTTTTCCTTTAAAAGTATTCTTCAATTTTAAATATTTTTCTCCATCGAAAAACTTTGATTAGACATTTATTAGATTTCAATGTATATCGATTTTCAATTATTTTATGTTCTTTTTCTGTTATTTTCTTTTTTTGTTGTGTAATTTATTATTAAAAATAATTTGAATTGTTTAAAGAGAGAATTAAAGATTTGTAGTGTTGTGTTTAAAAATCGAATACTAGCTATTTATATTTTAAGATATATTTAATATCATCATTATGCGAAAAAAGGTAACGAGATGATGAAATTCTAAAGGAAAACCTGTGCAAATCCTTCTTGAAAGAATGAAATCCTTTGTTTTAAGAAATGTAATCCTAATTTCGATGGCAAGGCGTTTAAAAAGGGTCGATTAACGCGGATCGATAGATTCTTCGTAAGAAATTAAATTCGTTTTAGTATTCCATAAATTTTATTCTCGTTACACTTATTCGAGTAATCTTTTTTGGTAATCTTTTCTTTTAAACTCAATATCTCTGCATTATCCTATAAATCGTACTTAAGAATATAATAGGATAAAAACTTGAAAAGTCTGCTTATTTATTTTTTCATGTTATCTAAAAGATTTTTCAATACTTCAAAATTAAAAAAAATTAAAAATTTAACAGACTCTAAAGTGACAAAAAAATAATTCGAACTTCAAAATTACTCTCCATTAAAAATAAATTTCTTTTGCGATTTTCAATTCATTAAATGGATAAAACCAAATAGTGAATTATTTTATTTTTTCAATTGATTATCAAATTTAAAGCTCTACTTTATATTTTTGTCTGTTATACTCTAGATGCCTTTCGTGTTGTAAATAATACTGTGAAAAGAAGCTTCAGACCGAAGATGGGCAAGCTTTTGAGCCTTTTGGCTCGAGATGAGTCTACCTGTTGCACGCCTCAAAAGTACGACGTCTTTTTGGATTTCGAAAGTAAGTTGAATGAATATACTCATATATAAATCGTTTCTTTCAATCGTTCTTTGAACTTTTTTCTTCGATTTTTCGCAAGTTTCTTTCACTACAAACGATGTTGAAATATTGGACGATTTTTGTAAGAGAAAACTATTTTTAGGGAATAATAGAGAGTTTCTTATCGAATTTTTTTAGATGCACAACCTTCCGATATAGAACGGGAGACCTTTGAAGCGGTGCAAAGAGTTTTGAAAAATTCAGAATCTATTTTAGAAGAGATTCAATGCTACAAAGGTGCCGGAAAGGAAATCAGGGAGGCGATTTCGGCTCCCACGGAAGAGTGTCAACGAAAAGCTTACCTGACTGTTGCACCTCTAGTTGCCAAGCTGAAAAGATTCTATGAATTTTCATTGGAACTTGGTGAGTCTCAACTTTTGGTCATATTTTAATTTTACATATTTTACTTTTTTCGTTTCAATTATTGTTTCAAAGTTTGTTACAAATATTTTGTAGAATTCTATTTTTATAAATTTAGAAATTTGACTTCAAATTTTTGATTGATAATATATCTATCTATTCTTATAAAATAGTAAATGAATAAAATTTCACGTGAAATAAAGGAAAGAAATATTTAAGTTTACAAAGTTTAATGTTTTTAAAATTAAAATTAATAGACGTTCACTCTTCATTTCTCTTATTAATGAATTTTCAAATGGTTTCGTCTAGACTATTTGCTTTTAATATTATATAGTTCTAAGGGACATTTTTATTCCGATTGGATGGCCACTGTTATGCAAAATAAAGGCAATAAATGCATCTGAAGTTTATAAACGGTTGAAAGTTTCGTTCGTGCCAATGCAACGATATTGGATTTCCAATCACCGTGTGTACGGGAATATTCAAGCTACATTCAACCTAAACAATAATCCCCCGCAGTTCGTTGCTCAACCAATATCGGCATTTAAGTTCTTACGCTCTTGTTTGATTTCAGCGAATGACATCGTAATTGAAAGTAACAAAAAATGGATATTGTTCGTGAAAAAAAGGGGAAAGGTACAATGAATTTTAGTAAAAATTGAAAATTTTCAGCGGAAATAATATAGAAAAAAAAAAAAAATAATATTGAAGAAAAAAATTCTTATTCGTCTTAACGGATATTGAATATTAAAAATTAATGTTTCATTTTTTTCACTTACTTGGCTTTTTACGAAGTAGTGATTTTTGTTAATGCAAAATCATCAACATATTTAAGCTAATTCCAATAATTTAACAAAGAAATAATTTAAAAAAGTAGCCTTAAAATAATATTGATGACGAAGTAATTATTTATTGATATATTTATTTAAATATGCAAGAAAAGAAATAATTTGACTATTTAATTATTTATGATCTTTAATCTAATTTGGCTATTTAAAGATCATAATTATTCTAATTTATAGAAGAAATTATTTCCTTATTTATATTTGTTTTCTGTATAATTTTTAAAAATATTAAAAAAATGTAAATATTTAAAAAAATAAAAGCTAATATTGCAAAAATTTTCTTGTTAAATTATTAGAATGAATCCAAATATCATAAAAATTCACTTATGTAAACTTTCTATCTAAACTAGAAAAATTATTAAATTAAACTAAAAATTAATTAGAAAAGAATTCTTTTATCTGTAAAAATTACAAAAAAAAAAAAAAAAGAAATAAAAGAAAAAGATCAAATGAATCGTAATCTTTCTCCTCATCTTACAACCATCGTTTTGATATTTTCCAGAGAAGGTAGTACCAAAAATCTTAGGCCAACTGTGCTCCGGTAATCTCTCCCCGACCCAACATCTCGAAACTCAGCAGGCTTTGGTGAAACAGCTGGCGGAAATTCTGGAATTCGTCTTGAAATTCGACGAGCACAAGATGAAGACACCCGCTATTCAAAATGATTTTAGTTATTACAGAAGAACGTTGACCAGAGCATCCCTGGCGCGACAAGAAAGCGCTGAAAAGGACCTCGTGGTCGGGAACGAGCTCGCCAACCGAATGTCCTTGTTCTACGCCCACGCAACACCCATGCTTCGTGTTCTGAGTCACGCGACCATTACTTTCTTGATGGACGTAAGTGCTATCTCTTCTTTGTATTCTCCCCTATCTTTTCGCCGTTCTTTCACTATCGATCCATCCGGATGCTAATCGATGGAAAAGCCGCGATGAATTCTATTAACTAGAAAGTTTTCTCGTATTTTTTTTTTTCGTGATGGAAAAGTGGTAATTTGAATATGAATTATTCGCGATGAACAACTTTTTTGTTTCTATATCTTTTTCATGAAATTTATGAAAAAAAAGTAGCAAAAAAAAAAAATATCAGCAAAATACAAATTACTTTTTTTCATTAAAAATACTGAATGGATGTATAATAAATGTAATTAAAATTCTTTGAAGTGTTTTCACTAAAATTAAATTAAAATTCTTCAAAATGCTACTAAGCTACACATAATAAACAAAGAAAAAGTATTCTATCCTACATAAAAAACGTAATTCCATGCGGAATTATCATCTTCTAACCATTCAACATGTTGTAAAATCGACTTTGTTAAAGATAAAAAGTTCATAATGGAGAGTGGAGAAATGTAAAAGGTTTTTAGAATCTTTGAAAATGAATTTACCTGGTTCGGTAACACTGAATAGGCGGCATTGACGCGAAACCTATTCTTCGCCCACATATGTACGCCTTTGTATAACTTGCTTTCTATTCTATAATAATAATAGATCCTGAGTTTTATATTTTGTTTTGTTATAATTGATAATTAACGTTTTTTCTCCATTCTTTATTGAATCTTTAAAAAAAAAAAACGTTGCCTCGTATGAATATTAAACAAAAGATTCATTAACGATCACAAAACTTGTGGCAATGCGAGCAAAATAGGTCGATATAAATAATGACGAACTGAACCGGAAAATTAAAAGCTATTATTTCAAGTGATTCAGGATAAAACAGTTCTCGGAACATTTACCAGCATAATGGATAGCAGATTCGTAGGCAATAAATGTACATGTGTATTTTAATTGGGACGATAGAGGAAGTGATTGTTTGTGATTTCAACCTCGAATTTTAAGCCTTGGAATTGAGGAAGTCGATGATCTCTGTATATTATTGTGTTTAATTTTTTAACTTGATTGCTTCTTCTTGTTAGTTTTTTTTTCTTAGTTAAGTATTAATTCTTAGATTTTTTAGTTTATTCTTAGAAAATTAATAAAAGTATTCGAATTAGATTTATAAGAATCATCATAAACATCTATGAAAATAAAAATAGAAATTTTGAAATAATAAAATTATTAATCCTTTATATTATTCTTGGATCCATTTTCGTACGAAATCTGTTGCTATTGAAAAAAAGGATTTTTATAATTTGAAAATTTAAATATCTAATTGATAAATAAATACCTAAATACTTCCTGAATTAATTTTGAATTCTTGAAAAGAATTAAAAAAAAAAAAAAAATTAGAGAAATTTTAATATGAAAATATAAGGCAGTAAGGAAGGTAAATTTAGAATAGTGAAATTAACGAAGTTAATTTATTATTCTTGTTAAATTTTACAAAATGGTATTATTGTTCAATGGAACAAAAGATTTTAATTATGAAAGAATAGTAGATACGTTAATGTTAGAAATAGTACGAGTTACTATTGTGTACGACTTGATTAAATTATTCTGAACAATGCTGTTATGTTAACAGGCTAGTAACTAAGCATTAAACAAATGATGGAAGTTTATAGTAACGAATACAATAGATTGATACGATACTCGATCGCATGAATACCGATACTATTGTAATTTGACTTTCTCTACTTCGCGTTTCTCTGTTCATATTAGACTTGTCACAATAATAGCAGTTATAAGAATTTATTATAGTATAACGTGAAAAAACAATACCTACATTATTTACTGTGAATGATGTTGAAAGTATTCAAATTAAAATTATCAAAGAGATCAAATTTTTTGTTTTTAAACTAAACGCGAACTAAGACAAAATATATCATTATTTTTATGTATAATATATTTAAGTACCCATTATTATAATTAAAATTTTTTCATTTTTTGTCATTGAATGATTAATTTTTTCATCGTTCAATTATTATACAGATAATATTGTTATGATATTAGAATCCCATTAATTTAAATTATTAATTAAAAATAAACCTATTTATTTCAGAACGAAGACGTAGCACGTGAAAATATTACTGAAACTCTTGGTACCATGGCCAAAGTTTGTTTGCGCATGTTAGAAAATCCGTAAGTAATATTAATCTGATGATTGAGTCAAAGAACTTTTCGTCTAGACAGAAAGATTTCTGAAGAAAATAAAAAAAGAAAGCTGTTTCAGATAAGATATGTTATTGTTCTTAGGAATTTATTGGCGCAATTCCAACGAGAAGAAACTCAACTCTTTGTTCTGAGAGTGATGGTAGGGTTAGTGATCCTTTATGATCATGTTCATCCCCAAGGTGCCTTTGTTAAGGGTTCGAATGTCGATGTAAGTATAAATCGTTTGAAATAAAAATTAAACTACATCTAATGTCACGTGTATTGGAAAAAAGGGACGTGTTTAATAATTTACTGACGTCAATTGCTGGATTAAACTATTTTAAAAAAATAATTTAAAAATAAAGTATCAGAAATTAACTGAAAATATTGTATCGGAAGATTATGGATATTTATATCCGAGCAAAAATAACTATTAGATAAAATTATATTCGCAAAAATAAACAATACAATACTTTTACCGTGAAAATGATTATTTCAAATCGATAATTAATAGAAAATTTATTTAAAAAAAAAATGATAAAAGAAAAGTGAATATTTAATAAAAATTAATTAATTAATGCGATTCATTATATATCGATGTTAAATTATTCATTGATGAAATATTTTTCTTAAAACTTTGAACTTTTTGAATTTATAAAAAATTTATTCATCTACATTTAGATAAAATGATCACCTCACTAAAGAATAAAACTATCCTACGTCTCTCTTTTTCTATATTCCAACTTTTTATAAATGCTAAACTTATTCATATTCAATTTAAATACAAAATATTTGGCCACATATACTTCACAGAAAGTGTATTACTTTTCCAGGTTAAAGGCTGTGTAAAGCTATTGAAGGATCAACCACCTTGCAAAAGCGAAGGTCTTCTGAATGCTCTTCGCTACACCACCAAGCATTTGAACGAGGAGAACACACCGAAGAACATTAAGAATCTTCTAGCAGCATGATTACCAAAGCAGCGCGGATGCTGCATCAGGAGCTGAGACAAATTGAACGAGCGACGCATTTTATGTATATGAGAGATCGTCGAAACGACTTTATCCAACATCAAACGAGCAATCTCCTGTTTCTGATCGTGGCTGGGTGGTGGACCATTAAAAAAAAACGTGTCTTTCGTAACCGAGTCTATAGCTGCCCGAAAACTGCCGACTTCTATATACCTTCTGAACGAAAAAAAAAAAATTAAAAAAGTAAGAAAAAAAATAAAAAATAAAAAAATTAAAAAATTAGAAAAAAAATAAAAAATAAAAAAATAAAAAGGAAAAAAGAAGACAGGTAGAAAAATCATAGAAAAGCAAACGGATCGAAACGACTGAATCATCAGAGGAATTGCTGCACTTGTTCTTAAGCGATGACTTTGTGAGAGTGCGAACATTTAAGTTATTATTATAATATTACTAATCTCTTTCTCTTACACATACACACTACATCTTGATTATTGACCATTGCTATTAATTATTGCTATTATTGCAATTTTTCACGTTTCAAATTATTATTGTCACCCAAGTATTATTACTCTGAAATAATTAACATCATCACGTGTATCAACAATTGTGTATTTGTCTTCCCTAGTGAAAAGTGGGAAGGGATCGAGTTAATTAGACCATATCAATAGTATATTTTAAGGTAATTTTTCCGATGATCACGAATGATGATCACGAATGATTCTCGCGAAAGACGTTAAGATGAGATGTTTAATAACGTTGTAAGATATATTGCGCAGATCTTTACTAATTGTTTTATTTGTTGAACGATTGTCATCCAAGGCGAATGGATAATTAAAAGAAATTGTTAATAAATACAGGGGGCTGGATATCGAAAATTAAAATAGAAGGACAAACGTTTACTTTGTTTCGTTGATATCGATGATATCGTTGATATTTTATTATAGATTTTGTTTTATTAATTTGTTAATAGTAAGTTATTAACACGCGTATTTCGTTGAAAAATGAATTACGTTAATATATTTCCTTCTTTTGTTTTTTTTTCTCTTTTATTTATCTTTTCTTGTTCGTTTCTACGTATATAAAGGAAAGTTAATAACCAAAGATATTGTTGCTAAACATTTGTAATGTCGCTGATTTTATCGTGAATTTATTATCACAGTATTTTTTGAGGAACACGCGTTATTTATAAGGGGCAAGTTATCGAAAATGATTTAACGTGGAAAAATTCATCTGTTTTTTCACAAAAAAAAAAAAAAAAAAAAATACTATGTGTGAATAATATTGTTGTTGACGCTGAAATTCGTGTCGCATACTCTTTTTCAAAATGCACATTTAAGGATTCTAAACGTACATGACCGATTTACATCGTAAGTTTTCTTGCATCAAGAATTTTACTACTTATATACCAGAAATTATAAAATGATATTATTATGTAAATTATCCGTTTTAAAGGCTGTCTACCATTTATTTGTCAAATTTTAATATATCATATTTGTGGATTTTTACATAATTTTTAAAAGCTATTATAAAATTAATTAAAAATACAAAAAAAAATATTAATAATTTTTTTCATTTCCAAATAAAATTATAAATCTGAATTTATCTTTTATACTTTTACAAGTATATGAAAATAAAATTATTCCTATTATATAAATTTTGTAAAAAAATAAGAGAAAAATAAGACAGCTTTTAAAAAAGGAAATTCTCAAATGTTAGTTTGTAATTTGAACTTTTTCAGTGATATTTATTATTATAATCTCACATTGTTTTCATACGGAACTAATTACAATTCATTAAAATACATTTTTTTTATATTTACTATATAATTGCATAGATCTTTTGATACGATATATGCAAGACAGACTGATGACAAACTATTTTTCCGTGAAACATTATCTTGTAATTTGTAAATGCTTGTTGTAAGGGTGTTTAATTATCGAATCGTCCGATTGATCGTTTTTAATTAATAGTCTTCCTTCATTTGTCTTCTATTTAACAAATATTTGTTATTAAATAATTTTGTAACGTAATATATATTACGTTATATTCTTCTTTCTATGTAAATAATTTGTTCAATTATAAAGACAAATAAAAATAATAAATAAATTTATAAGTCTAACTTCGTATAGAAACTTAAAATCTCTGATAATAGACTGCAACTAAAGATGTTTAATTAACTTTCAACTAATATTATTGGGTCATACATAGCTGTTGATTATTTAAAGACCCAAAGAAATGATTAAAATTGAAGCAGAGCAGAGAAAAATTATTCAATTTTATATTTCATATACATAAATACCTATTTTCAAATAGGCTATTTTCCTAAGTGCATAGAAAATAAAAATGAAGAATATTATACTTCTTAATTGCATTTAATGATATACAGAGTGTAAATATATTCATAAATTCATCTATTGGAGGATCGAATCTAGACTGAAACAAATATAAAAATTAGTGTATAAAAATGTCAGTTGAGATTTATTTATTAAATTATAAGCAATTTAACCTTGTATTAAATGAAGCACAAAGATTAGTATCTCTCTCTCTGTCTAAATAATTAATAAATAAATCTCAACAGAAATTTTTATATATCAATTTTTCTCTTTGTTTTGACTTCTAAAATTAATCCTTCGAAGATATTTCACGAGTATATTAACATGCTGAATAATATTTTCCATGCCTATCTTCCAATAATTGTATTAAAGACGATCAATCTAAGTTCCATCTTTTTAATAAGAGCGTAAAAAAAAAAAGTGTTTGCAAGATTATCGTACTAAAGAAAATGTTACTAATTATAGTTATGGAAATATATTAATTTTTACAATCACGTTAATAAACGATACACGAGGTTTATTATGCTTCCATTGATCCACGAATTTAATTGCATTGTTGTACAAAAAGGATCAATGAGAAAGCGCGAAAGTTGCATAAAATAAAAATTTAATATAATAACGCGGATATCTCTCGAGGAATACAATTTTTCAGAATGTAAAGAAACAAACGAAATAAATTCTGCGTATATCTAAAGATATTTATGTGTGAGTGAAAATATTGTACGAATACAATATTTCTTATAGACATAAATATTTGCATTTGTCTGTCAATAAATTTGCTATGAATATTAACTTAATCAAGACTATTTCAGGAAACAAGAATTAATTTTTGTTTTATCGTATGTGCATTTTTATATATATGTATTTTATTTATGTAAAATTTTAAAAATTTCTTGTAACATTTTGTGCTAAATTAAATTAAATTAGTTCACATATATTTAATAATAGACGAGTTGTGCATTCACAAAAGAATTTTGGATTTTCAGTATATTTACGTTTAAGTAACATTTATTATTAATATTTTAAGATTATTGCGCTATATTATGTATTTACAAATATTGTTATTTGAAAATGAAATTGTAGAAATCCGAAAGTTAATAAAATACATTATATAAATAATTTGAATTTTGAGAATGATGTTGATAAAATGAAAGTGAAAAAATAAAACGAAAAACGAGGAAAAATGATCATATATCTATTCCAAATCACGTTGATTTTTATAATGTATAAAAGATTCAAATAACTAAATTATTTAAAACATTATTGAGCACTATGAAAAAAAACTTTCGTTATTAATAAAACGCGATATATAAACAAATTTAATCTAAAATAATTAACGAAATAAAAAAAATTATCCTTTAAGAGTAAAATAAATATAACATAATATAATAAATCTGTGATCACAGTGCTCATAAAAAATTTGTCATGTATCAGTTTTATTATGTCATTCTATAATCAATATCATTGGAGATATTATCAAATGTGAAAAAATTTTCTATGACAATTATTGACAAGGTTGATATCAAACAGAATATGATTTGTAATATTTTATGAAGATCTCACAACTATAGCAGATATATGTGTATATACACACAGAATTACAA